TATATGGGTGATAATAGACAGATTGACCAAGTCAGCCTATTTTCTTCCAGTAAAGGAGAACACTACTCAGATCAGTTGGCCCAGATCTATGTTAGGGAGATAGTAAGACTTTATGGTATACCCAAGACAATAGTATCAGATAGAGATTCCAGATTTGTCTCAGCTTTCTGGACTAGTTTATAGAGGAACTTGGGTACCAGATTGGCTTTTAGTACTGCCTACCATCCTTAAACAGATGGCCAGACAGAGAGAACAAATCAGATACTTGAGGATATGTTGAGGGCTTGTTGCATGGATTACAGGATGTCCTAGCATGAGATGTTACCCTTGGTGGAGTTTGCTTATAATAATAGCTATCAGTCTACAATTAAGATGGCTCTTTACGAGGCTTTGTATGGTAGACATTGTAGATCTCCATTACATTGGGATGAGATAGGCAAGAAAGATGAGTTGAATACAACTCTTGGGGCAGAACTAACTCAGAAAATGATAGAAGATGTCAAGTTAATTAGAAGTAGAATGAAACAAGCCCAAGACAGGCAGAAGAGCTATGCAGACTTAAAGAGGAAAGATGTTGAATTTAAAGTGGGTGATAAAGTGTTTCTAAGAGTTGCCCCCTAGAAACGAATGATGCGTTTCGGTAGCAAGGGAAAGTTAGCACCGAGATACATTGATCTATTTGAAGTATTACAGTGAATGGGAAATGTAGCCTATAGGTTGGCTCTACCACCCAAATTGGACATAGTACATAATGTATTTCATGTCTCGATGCTTCGGAAATATGTAAGTGATCCCTCCCATATATTAAGTGTTGAAGAGGTGGACTTAGAAGAAAATATTGTGTATGAGGAGCGTCCAATTCAGATATTGGACAGAAAGATCAAAGAGCTCCGAAACAAGAGTATCCCTTTAGTGAAAGTCATTTGGAGAAATCATAAAGCTGAAGAAGCTATATGGGAGGTGGAGCAAGACATGCAGAACCGTTATCCGGAGTTGTTTATTTGAATTTCGAGGACGAAATTCTTATAAGAGGGGGAGAATTGTAACGCCCACATGGAGGTATGTAATTTAATTTATGTTCTTATACCTTTAGTTGATTTTTGCTAAGGTTATTTTAAGGAAAATGTGAAGAAAAAGCCTCAAACTTGCATTAATGGTAAAATGGTCTTTTCACTCAAAATTAGTTGAAATTGTAGGGAGTGCAAAGAGATAGAATTTCATGGAAAATGCAATAAAAATGAGGGTATTATGGTAATTGACTAAGGGACATAGATGAAATTTTAAAGAAAGTGCAAGGGCAAAATGGGAAACTAATATATAATTTTTATGTCATATCAAATTGAAGAGTGAAACCCTAGCCACTCTTACCCATTTGCACGCCACTTTCACCTCCATATTCTCTCAAATTCTTTAATTCTTCTTCAAAGGAAATTCAAAGGTTTTTGGTATTTTTGAGTGGATTTTCAATCTTAAGCTTCTATAGGTAAGATCCTTGCACTAAGAAGTGAATTTTAGTTTTTAAAGTGTTGATTTTGATGGTTTATGCTCATAGGATTTAAGAGGAAGAGAGTTTGATCAAAGGAGATTCTTAAAGGGTTGAATTTGCTCATATCAAAGGTAAGTAAATCCTACCCTAAGTATGATTTAAGTTATGTTGTGTAGAGAACTTTCTTTATGCATATATATGTGTTATATGTAGAATTGTTGATGGATTTGGTGTTGAATAATGATTAGAACCTATCCATGAGAAGTTGTGTTGGTGTAGTTGTTATTTGATGAATGTTTGGATGAGATTTGGAAGAATTGAAGTGAAAATTTTGAAGTGTGTATTTTGGGCAGATTTGGTGTTAATTATGGAGGAGTTTATTCCAAATTTTTGGTGGCCTAAAATAGAGATAGAAGTGTAGCCAAATTAGTGTTGATTTGTGCACATGAATTGTTTGATGAAATGCCAAGGAGAAGTGCATGTATGAGTATGATTATGTGTTACCTTGGGATGTGTTTGTAGATGGTAAAGAAGGACATGTTTGCATTCCATAATGCATAATTGCATTTAAATATGTGAATTTAGAAAGAATTATAAGCATGAAACCATCTACATGCATACATATTCATAAGAGCATGAAAATGCCCTAAAATATGTTAAAGAGAAAATAGAAAGAAATGAGAATATTAAAGATATTCAAATCTGAATTTTTCTTAAAGAAGTGTAAAAAAAAGATAAAAAGAAGAGAAGGTTGTTGCGATGGGGAGCCGTGAGTGACATAGTCCCACATGCACGCCGCCTTTAGTGAGCGGCCTCAGAATTCAGAAAGAAGAATTGTACAGTCTGTTAGAAGTGTGTGTAGATGAGGACTGTACCCAGAATTAGAGAATTCACTCACACAGGCAAGGCTCCAAATCCATGCCTCAACCGAGTCCGATCGACAAGAATAGAAATAAAGAATAGAAAGAAAGAAAAGAAAGAAAGAAAAGAAAGAAAGAAATAAAGAAAAGAAACAAAATAAGAATAAGAAAAAAAGAAAAGAAAATGCATAATTTATGCATTTGTGCATTTGCATCATGAATATGCATAATACCATGCTCATTATCATGGGTAGTGAAAAAAATTAGAAAACAGAGAGCAAAATAGAGAAAGAATAGAGAAAGAACAGAGAAAGAACAAAGAGAATAACATAGAAAGAATAGAGAATACTCGGGAAATGAGTTGTAAGGAAAGAAAATCTAGGATTTAAGCAACGGAGAGAGAAGGGTAGCATAGCGGGTTTACTTATTGAGCCATTAGTGCTCACTCCGTTGTTTTTAATGTTTTGCAGGTAATAGGTGAGATGCGGTCGCTTGGAACGTCACGCAGTGGAAGGGTGAGCTACACTGTCAAGTTGCTATTTTTGAGAATATTTTGTAAATATTTGTATATAAAGAAAAATTAAATATGGGACCATACTTTATTACTCGTATATATATGTGTATTTTCTTATATATATTCTTAATGAGTTTTAGTAATTATTTTACAAGTATACTAGCTAGAAAGAAAACACTACATTGAGTACTCCAATGGTAGTTCGGTCTCTTGATCCTAAAAATGATCAATTTCGTCCTAAAGAAGACGATGAAAAGATACTTGGTCATGAAGTATCATATCTAAATGCAATAGGTGCATTATTATATTTTACACAATGTACGAGATCGGACATAGCATTTGTAATGAATCTATTGACAAGATTTTGCTCTGCACCAAGTCGTTGACATTGGAATGGGATCAAACATGTCTTTGGTTACCTTAGTGGAACAAAAGACTTGAGATTGTTTTATCCAAGGAAATCTATTAATAATCCTTAATTAGTTGGTTATACAGATGCTAGGTACCTTTCTGATCCTCACAAAGCCAGCTCGTAGACGAGATATGTTTTAACTTACAATAGTATTGCAATATCATGGCACTCCACAAAACAAACATTGGCTACCACTTCCTCCAATCACTTTGAGATTCTTGCGCTTTATGAAGCCATCCGAGAATGCATATTGTTAAGATCTGTCATCCATCATATTGAAAGTACATGCAAATTGCCACATACCTCAGATGCTTCCATAGTTATGAATGAAGATAATGCAACATGTATTGCCCAAGTCAGGGGAAGATATATTAAAGGAGACAAAACCAAGTATATTTCATCGAAGTTCTTTTATACTCACGAATTCCAACAAAATCGAGAGATTGGTGTCAAACAAATACGCTTTAGTGGTAATCTTGCAAATTTATTCACTAAGACCTTACCGACATCAACATTTGAAAAGTTAGTGTATAGCATCGGTATGCGGTGGCTCAATAAGTTGCTAAATTAATTCTGCTATCATGAGGAGGACCATTGATCCAGAGAAGCATTGATTATAGGGAGTTTTTAGAAAAGGTTTATTCTATTAGACAGATGTGCACTGTATTCTTTTTTCCTTGATCAGGTTTTGTCCCACTAGGTTTCCTGACAAGGTTTTTAATGAGGCATTATGAAGCACGTCCAACTTCATGTTTTAGTTTCATTGTAGAGTTGTATTTCTTTACTTAGGTTTTTCCCCACTAGGTTTTTTCTTGAGTAAGGTTAAATACAATTATTTGTAAATAGTGGAGGTCCAAGGGGGAGTGTTGTAAAATAGTGTGGACCTCTACCGCTTTAAATTTGAGGCAGTGGGATAGTCAAAAGGGGGAGGGGTGTATTCTGTAAATACCCCCACTAAATAAATACAAAAATTTGAGAAGTTTAATAACACATCAATTAAGTCTCATAGCTCTCAATTCACTTGCTTTATTCCTTCTCTCTCTTATATGTTAATTTATTCCCTTATTTGAGTTAATTATTATAAAACATTTCTCCAATAATTTAGAATCATAAAGTGATTGTTTTAAATTATAATTTAATTTAGATATAATTTTTTTTATCATATAAAAAACTGATTTAAAAATACAAAAAGCCCCAAGAAAATACTAAAACCAAAAAAAGAACCTGATAATAATGATTAATCAATAATAGTTTGTTAAATTTCAAAATTTCAAAATTAAAATAATTGACGTTTTGAACTTATCCTATCATCGCAGACAACCACCATTGGTAATTAATTATATTTAATATTAATATATCATAAATTTTTTTTTAATATAATTTTAAGGTTATTTGGCATTACATTTTGAAGTGATTATAATTTCAAAACAAACAATAATGATGCAAATCGACTTTGGAGGTAGCAGGCGAAGGTAGCTGCTAAAACAAGGACCATCAAACTACATTTTCTGGAGGAGTATCAGTACAGCAACAGCTAGCAAAGCAAGTAAGCAACAGACTTATCTAAAAATTATTTTCTACTTATCTCTTGAGAATCCAGAAAGTGTAAAACTTTCAAGAGAAACAAACAGAAAATTTGAGAGAAGATGGAATTTTCCAGAAATGAAACTTTTAAGCAAATACTTTGAATATGAACTTGAAAGAACAGAGTCTTAACCTCCTCTCTGCTTAGTTGCTACTAACCCTTGATCTTGTTCTCAATTCCTCAACAATCTTATACCATCTTTTTAGCTTGCGGGAAATGCTGAAGAAAAATGTTGACATAATCAACTCGCATAAGAGGGAATATTTCGCAGATACAAACAAGCAGAGCGGCACTATAGGTAATCCAACCACTAAAGAAAGTACCCAGTTTGAGTTTCTTTCACGAAACACCAGATAAAGAGTGGCACAAAACGCTATCATCAGAGATGCTATAGAGTAGAACAACATAACATAACACCACGTTAACTGCTTGGGCAGGGAAAAAAGAAAATCTTCTTCTCCATAGCGTGAAGTGAGGATAGATACGAACATTATGATGGCACCAATTGATGTGAAAAAACAGAATGAATTAAAAATACTAAAGATTGTGAAGGCTGTCTGTTCGTACAAATTTGGGTGGCCATCATCGTTGTAATCACCTGGTATAGTGATTGCTGCTGCAAATACTATTGTGGCAATGAATGATGCTGCTAGTGAGCATGAAGATGCTGCACCTTTTATCCATTCCTCACCTTCTTTTATGAGTTCTTTATGTTCCTCAATAAATACCATTCTTGGAGTTTTTCCTTCCGAATTTTTTTCCAATCGATAGTCAGGCGGCACCATTTTCTCTACTTTCTGCATTTAGATAAATTTTATAACCACATCAATATATTGGAAGAGTGAAATTATAGTCAGAGATTCAGAGCAGACTTCTAAAACCGTCTTATACCATTTTATATTTGATGTACAGCAATAGATAGACAACATTGGCTCAAATTTAATAGGTGAATGAAAATCAGGTAAATAAAACTCATATTGTTAAATTAAATTTATATTCTTTGGTAGGGAAAAGCAATTCATAATAGAAGATTACTATATATTTAGCACAATGTAATATTTACATCAAAAGTCTTACCTTAAACCACTGTAATTCACGCTGCATATCAATAGCTGCACTGGGAAGCTGATTCGATTGACTTTTAGATTTTCCAGCTAAGTGCAAGATATTGTTCTTGTCAATGTCTTCAGACTGTAATAACATATGTTTATAACCACTCCTACCACATATGAGGCGTAATACCTTCTCTTGACGATTCATAGCTGCCAAATGCAGTATATTGTGATTATTTTCATTTGTAAACCAAATTGCATCAGGATATGATTCTAAAATCTCTTCCAGAACTTCGCAAACCCCCAACTCTGCCGCTAGAAGGAAGGGTCCTTTCAGTATCAAGGAATGATCTGAACTCTTTGCAATTTCCGTGCACAAGAGTTTGACAAGTTGGAGTGCTTGGTGATGCGTCGACTCTGTCTCTCGTTTTTCTTTTATGTAGTCAAGTAAAATATCGTAAGTTAATTAGATGAAAACAGTTTAGTAAAGTCCTAAAAAATATGAATTCTCTTATAACTCAACCAATCACAAAAAATGATTAATTAACCTGAATTATTTAAAAATGAGTAAAACTGTCATATTCTCCCAATTAATTTAAATAAAACCTAAAGTAAGAGGCATTAGCCGATCTATTAAATTGACAGAAAATCCATGTTTTCTAAAAAGGAAAAAAAAAGTACAAATGTGCAATTCTTAAATCAATTTACATATAGTATATTATATTAATATAAAGTAAGTCATTAAAAAAGCACTACTAAATAGTAAAATTCTTCTCTTGTCCATGTGAAAACATATAAATATATTCATCCGCAGAATATTGTTATTAATATTATGATGAACAAAGGGAAATTTCCTATCCCACAACAGAAATTGAAAAAAAAAAAAAAAAACAAACCAACATAATTTACAGAACAAATAACATGGATATTCATGAGTAATTGGATTATAGAAGATTAGTAACTATATATGAAATATGTACTCATGCTTGAAGAATTGATAAAACTTTGGCATTTTAAATATTATTATTGATGCTTATAATTTTCTAAGATTAGAATAATAATCAAGGGTCAACTTAAATATTATAAATAAAGATCAATTAAATATAGTATTACAAATAAAAATAATCCATGTCACATATTAATTGATATTTATGCAAATAAATAAAGCTTTGACACGTCTTGTAATCTTATAATTCATTAGAAAAAAATATTAAGGCAATTTTATGTTTTTATTTTCTACTAGCTAGTATTACATAATCTTGAATAAATTTAAAAAGGTGTTGCATTGATGTTTCTTAAAAAGGTGTTAGAAGAATAAATTTAATTAACATGATTTTTTATGTTTCAAGAAAGAGATATTGTCCTATATACATATTTAGTTATAAAATCACATGATTTACTCTAATTGTCTCTAATAAAAAACAATAAAGAAAAAAATAACCAAAATGCGGTTAGACTATCAAGTCTAACACCAGCTGGCAATTCTTAGAAGATTGGTATTTATAAAATATATACTCACGCTTATCAGATATATAATCTTTGAAGAATTGCAAAAACTTTCGCTTTGTTTGTCGTCCACTCCGAAATGCCGATGGCTTTTGTACTATTGTACTCAAAACAGACTCACCAGTAGGTAACTGCTTTGTAGCTAAATTTCCATGTATTTGAAGCACTTTTAGTGCCAAGCCTGAGACGTATTGATGGGCAAGAAAAAATGGATTAAAATATGCATCAATATAGTAAATACTTGGAAGTTATCTCATTCAAATATATTCGGTACTCCGTAGTAATACTTAGTAGCAAATGAAAGAATAACTTACCATAAAAGCCAGCAATTATAAGCGAATTTAGGAAATAAACGCCAGAGTAATCACTAAAACCTGTTAAATCTGCATAATCGAAGTAACTGTTGTTGAAAGGCAATAAAAATTCAATCATCTTCTTTTGGCCATGTCGAGCTGCCTCAGTCAAAGGTATTCTTTTAGAATAGTTTGAATGTTGAATTAAAGTTTTATNCTCACCATTAGGTAACTGCTTTGTAGCTAAATTTCCATATTTTTGAAGCAATTTTTGTGCCAAGCCTGAGACATAATGATGGGCAAGAAAAAATGGCTTAAAATATGCATCAATATAGTAAATACTTGGAAGTTATCTCATTCAAATCTAATCGGTACTCCGTCGTAGCAAATGAAAGAATTAACTTACCATAAAATCCAGCAATTATAAGTGAATTTAGGAAAGAAAAGCCAGAACCGTCACTAAAACGTGTTAAATCTGCATAGTCCAAGTAACCGTTGCTGAAAGGCAATAAATATTTAATCATCTTCTTTTGGCCATGTCGCGCTGCCTCAATCAAAGGCATTCTTTTAGGATTGTTTGGATCTAGAATTAAAGTTTTATATATATCTTTGTGCAATATCATGGAGGCAGCTGGGATATTTCCAACAATTGCAGCAATGGAAAGAATCGTGTTGCCCGCTTTATTTTCCCATGCCAGTTGTTGATCGCCAATTGGCATCTTACCCAATAGATACTCAACAACATCATATGCCTTGCCTGTCCCAATCCCAACAGCTACATGAAGAGCTGTGTCCCAGTTTACGGTGATCCTGGCTTTTAATGCATCTTTATCTTTATCACAGAGCTCTCGTACAGTTCCTATGTTGCCTTTGAGTATAGCTTGATAGAGCGGCAAGTGTTTCTTACATTCCGCTTCAACTTTTTCTGCAATAAAAACAAACAGAAAATTTTCATACTTTTTTTAATTTGGTTTGTTGGATTATTTATTTACTTCTGAAAATTTATTATAATTTCCTACTACTTACCTTTATCCTCGTCTGATAATGCAGTAGGCTGTGATGAAGAAGAGGGAATTAGTTGTGATGAAGAAGAGGGAATTAGTTGTAATGAAGAAGAGGCGATAAACTGTAACGAAAAAGAGATATTGTAGTTTGGCAGCACATACCTGTGTATTGCCTTGGAACTTTTCTTTTAACGCAGTCCATGCTTCTTTCGCCGTCTTAACTGCATAAATTTTTGAAAAAATATCATCCTCCACCGCTTGTTGAAGGATGTAAAGTGCTGCTGCATTTTTCTGACTACTTTCTTTCAACTGCTTCTGTTGTTGCTCAGATAGAGTGGAGGTGCTCTCAGGAATAGAGATTCCATCTTAATCCTCCAAGTATCATATTTTCGTCCAGTAAAGATAGGGATAAGAATAGAAAGTGGATTTAAGTTACCATTGGCCATGACGAGGGATTGAATGTTTAGTGTGGTAAACCCTTCTGCCAATGTAATATATATAGAGAGTCAAGGGATCTTTTAGTAATAGATGGCAAATATTCATCGGAAAAGGATTAGTTCCAGGCAATTTAATACAATACTTGTTGATCCAATCTCATATATAATTAGTTAGGTTATGAGTTAACACAAGTTGATAATAATTTGCAAATGGAATACAAAAAAGATAATAATCAAATATTAAATTAAGGCACCCCTCTAACTTCTATTATTGACCTCATTTAATCTATCACTATGTGCTTGGAACAAAATTAGGAGGAAATGCTTTCAAAACGATTTAATTAAACCTTTTTTTTATTAGGATATATGATTAAAACATAATCTTTGAACGGTTCTATTTTGAGATAATATTATTATTGTTTTATCAAATATGTTGACCCATATTATTGAATTTTATAATCACATTAAAGAACTGAAATTAGCCAGTTTATTAACATAATACTAAAAACCGATCATAAAGTAATCATAATGGATTTAATTTGATACTATTTCTTATAAGGGTAGCAGGATTGTCCAAGAAAATGAAAAGGGTTATTAAGTTTTGCCTATTAATATAATGTTTGCGAAAGGACAAAAAGTTTGATAAGAATATGACATCATATCAGCATTATCGAGTCACTACCGGGTCCATTTTTAAAACATTGATATTAATTTAACGTTTGAGAAAGGACAAAATGTTTTATAGTTATTTAAAAGACGTCATGGGATTCATAATTTTTCACTGGTGATTTAGGTCAGGATTTAGCATTTCCTTTTTTTTTCTTAATTTTTATTTTGCTTTTTGAGTGGTACACAGACTTACACGTTGCTGGCAAGTTCTTTCTAATGTTTACCACTAATTTAGGTAAGTTTTCCATTATTTATTTCATTGCTCAATAATATATAATTAATACACTAGTTTTACCGAAAAGTGTATTCTTGTACTTTTCCACTGATGAATAAAAAATTAAAAAGAAAACANTTAATTTAATGTTTAAGAAAGGACAAAATGTTTATAGTTATTTAAAACACGTCATGGGATTCGTAGTGTTTCACTAGTGATTTAGGTCAGGACTCAGGATTTAGCATTTCCTTCTTCTTCGTTTTTTTTTTTTTTTTTTCTTTTTTTATTTCGCTTTTTGAGTGGTACACAGACTTGCACGTTGCTGGCAAGTTCTTTCAATCAGTATACATTGACAAGAACCCATTAATCCCTATGTACTAATGTTCTTTTAAATCAGTACAAGTTTTCCATTATTTATTTCATTGCTCAATAAATCAACTAGATGTTATATATAATTAATACACTAGTTTTAAAAGTGTATTGTTGTACTTTTCCACCGATGAATAAAAAATTAAAAAGAAAACAAGCGTTACCTAGGTGCCTCGCTGGCGACTTCGGCTAATGGCCATTAAACTTTTTTTTTTTTAATTTAAAAAAAAATAGGGGAGAAATAAGAAATTTGTGTGAAATATTTTTTGTGGATTTCATTTGCTTAAGGTTTAGTGATTTTTTAAAAGTTTTCACTAGTTATTTGACAAAGAATGATGGAGCCGTAAAGGCCCATCCTCGACAAAAACCCTTGGTCCACTACTGACGACAAGGGGGTATATGTAAGTTTTGAAAGTTAGGGGTTACGATGGTAAGGCGCCGGTGAGTCAAAAAATGGCATCGAAATCAATTTCTGCCGCCAGGAAAGTGGCGAAACAACAAGAGGCGACAGCTTCTAACGCGTACAGTCTCCTGCTAAAATGCGCCGACGCAGTTTGCAACCTTAAATTCATAATCACAATATCTTTACTGGCTATTTTCAGGTGTAAGATAAGACAAAACTTAATATTAATCACTTAGATACAAATTAATCTTATCTTCATATAAAATCCTAAAATATATATATATATATTNTGGTGCATGCATTAGTTTTGTTGCAAGAAAAGCTTGAGCAGCAGGTTCAGTAGCTTGATTTGGAAACTGAGCTTGAGAAGCAACCACATCAGAAGAACCAGTAAATCTTAGATAGGCATGATTAAACCTATGGTAGCATTGCAATGTTGAGTGTCCAACTTTGCCACAGACTTGGCATATCAATTTAGGTTTAAAGGAACCTCTACCTCTTCCTTTAGGTCTCATATGAGAGTGAAACATCATCATCCCAGGATGAAGGAACTGATTTTGCATATCCAGCGAAGTAGAGTATTGTGGCTGAAATTGAGTAAATTGACCAGGAATGCAACTAGAAGGCTGGAATTGTGAAAAACCAGAAAACTGAGGTGAAATAGAACCTGATTGAACAGCCCCCTGACGAAACTGAGGTTGAATAGAACCTTGACTTGTTTGTGACAGAGTTTGTGGATTCACATATTTCTGGAAACTAAGATTTTCAGAGCTTAAACCAGAATTACGATGACTCATTCCAGAATTAGGATCAGAGCTGCCATTACTAGAGTTCTGTTTAGAGGCTACCAAAGCAGAGGCTAGTTGATCAGGAAACATGTTCAAAGCACTATTCTGTCTTTCAAGCCTCATTTCATGTTTATGTAAGAAGAATTGCGCTTCTTGCAAGGTCATGTGATTACTATTGGTAGTCAATGAAGCCACTATAGCGTCATACTCAGGACCTAATCCATCTAAAATGTACAATAACAACTCTTCATCACTAATCGACACTTCACTGGCAATCAATTCATCACCTAAACCTTTCATAGTCAAGACATATTCACTAATACTAAGTGCATTCTTCTTAGTGGTTTGTAATAAGTTTCGCAAGTGTAAAGTTCTAGCTCTGGACAGTGATTGGAAATGAAGTTCAAGAGTGTTACATATTTCATATGAAGTGCCACACTTAGCTACATGACGGAACATGGACTCTGAAAGTGAAGATAAGAGCCAACTTACTAAGAATTGATCAATTTTCTTCCAATTGTAGTAGCTAGGGTTTCCTTTCTTGACCAATTTGCCAGACTCCTCGTCAGACTCCATTACAAACATCGGAGGGCATTCTTTTTCCCCAGTCACATCTATCAAGACCATGCGAAATTAAAGCTGGAAGAATCTGTGAATGCCAAAATGAGTAATTCCTGTCAAGAAGCTTTACAGAGATTGTAGGTAGAGTAGGTGGAGTTCCTGAAGCTGTCACGCTACTGGATCCAGCTTCCATGTTTACTAATTTCAGAAATTGAGTCACAAATTCTTAAAGAAAAAGAAGAAAAATCCGAGAAAATTGAACCAAAGACGTTTGTCTATAGCTCTGATACCATGAAGAGAAAAGAATTGCAGCAAAAGAATCTTGAGAAAAGAGGAGAAAGAAACGATTAAGAGAGAAAACAAATTCAGATCTGGAAAATTTTTTCTACTTAAAGACGAAAGCTACAGTACAAAGCACATATATACTGTTTTCTTTAGTAAAACGCAGCGTATTGGTAAAGTTCTGTCTGCCCCTATTCTACTCACATATGACACTCTGGTCCTTAGACCTTTATACACAATATTTCTTCATTTCACATTACGGCTGCAAACAAGCCAAGCCGCTCGCGAATAGCTTGTGTCGAGCCTGGCAGCTCGAGCTTGAGCCTCTTGAGTGTTGAGTTGAGCATGACTGGAGGGTATATGTAAGTTTTGAAAGTTAGGGGTTATGATGATAAGATGTCAGAGTCAAAAAATGGCAGCAAAATCAATTTCCATCACCGGGAAAGTGGCAAACCAACAAGAGGCAGCAACTTCTAACGTGCGCCGACGTAGTGTAAAATTGCTTTTAGCGAATATTGTTTGGCTAAAAAACGAGCAGTTTTGCATTCTTCCCCAAGCTCGAGCTCGGTACAATAATAACGAGCTCGAGCGTCGTGGTGTTCAAATTGGCTCGGCTCATTTACAACCCTAAATTCACATTCGCAATATCTTTAGTGGTTGTTTTCATGTGTAAGATTAGACAAAACTTAATATCAATCACTTAGATACAAATTAATCTATCTTCATATATATATATATAGAAAGAGAGAGAGAGAGAAAGAGTAAAACCTCTCTATAGTCATAATGGTGAGACTAACTAATTTTATTACTATGAGGAGGTTATAACTGAATGGAGGTGTAGTTACAAAAATTATTGTTTTGATTTTTTAATTTATAATTCATATGTTTTAGTAGTACAATATTAGGATTTCAATTCATATTTTAGTAGTATCAAGATTTTTCAATTCAACGTTTCAATTGCCTACTTTTGAAACAGATAGAAGTGATAGAATTGATGTGGGTCTGACTTCTCACCCAATAAGGCCTTGTTGAATGGGAGGATTACCCCCTCTTATAACCCAATAGACTTGAACGTGCTTAGTCGATGTGAGACTCCAACACTCCCCGTCACGATCAAGCCCATATGTTGGGTCATGCATGTTGATAAAGGTAGTTGCTGACTCTAACTCTTCACCCGCTGGTCAAGCGCTCAGCTCAACTGAACCTGCACTCTGATACCATGTAAAACTTAGAGAGAAAAGTTGAAAGAAGCTGAGATATTGAATCTGTATTTCATTGATTAAACTTTGTTTTACAACCTAAATCCTCTTTTATACAGTGAACATTCAAGAGAGGAAAGTAAAGTGAAAGTGAACTGATGAAGAAAAGAGTTAGCTGAAAAGTGTAGCTTGATCAGTTTAACTGAAGAGTATTACTGAAACGACATCGTTTCAGTAATATTACAAAGAGACCCGCATCTTTTGACAGTTGGACAGTTTAGTCCTTTTATTCTTACAATTTGTTGGTTTTGTTTTGAGTAGCAGAGCAGTTTGTAGATTTGAGTAGCAGAGGTGCAATTGAAAATGCAAAACTGAAAATGGGCTAAAAATAATTTGAGTGGCTAATGTTAAAGTCGAATTACTGTATGAGCAGATTTGTGTTGAAATTTCTGTTTGAGCTACTACTGCAGTTTGTAGATTTGTGTTGAAACCATTACTACAATTTGCAGTTTTGTGTTGAAATT